ACTGATTTTTCATTATTCATTTGGAAGTATGCTCTAGTATAGTATTTATCAACATATTTTTCACATTTCAAATATTATTTAATTTGGATATCTGAATAGATTTAATATAAAATGTTTTCATAAGTATCAAATCTTCCTTTTACTTGATTTTCAATAAAGAGTTTGTGTTCAACTTCAGTAATCCAGTTTTATATTCAGCTTGATAATGGTTTGTGAGTTTCAATAGTAATTTAATCAGCTAAATTATCATAATATTAACAATAACACTATTCTGGAGTATATAATTAATTATGACATCAATATTTCTTGTTTGATCCTTTTCAATTAAAAGACTATCAGTTTTCCTATCTGTATGATTATTAGAATTTTTCACTGAGCTAATTATAATCATTCCAAGTGAATCTTTTTTATTGTACTTTGATTCCTTCTTGATATGCTTATATATCATTAATTAATTTGACACTTTGAATAATTCTGATTAGTATATCTGGATGATTAATATATTTTAGTTATCTTTTAAGAGTTTCAACTGGAGTTCAAGTCTCTTTAAGTATTGTGTTTATACTTTTATTAAACTATATTTGAAATTTGCATAATTGAACTACTATTGAATTATTATGGTTGAGCATCAGAAAGTTTTGATTTTTTAGATATTGTTCTTTGAATTCTTCTTCATCAGTTGAGAATTCATTATCTAATTCATCAGATGATTTATCAGGACTATCATATTCTTGTTTATAGATAAATTTAATTTTGGTATTTTCTTTTTGATTATTCCAATCAAAGGATATAGTTCCATTATGTAGATCTAATTTGGCTTTGATTTTATTAATCAATTCATTCTAATTACTATACTATAAGAAACTTGATATTTTATTAATTTATTATTTAAATTAATATTAATATTAAAAATTAATAAAAAGATAATATTACAAAAAGTATTTCTATAAATATAAATAAAAAACAAGAAATTTACTCAAATATAATTTATATTAATCAAATATTTATTTTTTAATTAATATTTATTTTAACTAATATAAATACTTTTGTTTTTTAATATAAATTATATTAATATTTATTTTTTTTGAATTACAAAAAAAATTAATAAATAAAAATTTATTAAGGTTTTTTATGAATAACAACTTTATATTACAAAAAATAAAATTATTTTTTTAATTTTTAGACTAAAATCAAGTTAAAAATTAATAATAATTAAAATATTAACTTAATTTCTTTTATTATTTTATTTTATTTTATTTTACTTTAATTTTATTTAGTTTTATATATTTTATTTAAATTATATCTTAATTTGAATTTAGTTTGTTTATAATTTCTTATCTTAATTATAAAATTATATTTATTTAATTTAATAATATTATTTGTCTATTAATAAATATAAATAAATAATAAATAATTTTTTTAAGAATTAATTATAATATAATCATATTTATAATAAAATTTTATTATAAAATATAAATAAAATAATTGATAAATAGAATAATTTAAAATAATAATTTATATAAAAGAATATTTTAAAAAAATATTAACAAATTATATTATTAAATAAAATTAACTTATTTATTTTTTCTCTTTATACTTTAATATTATTTATTTAAAAAAAATCAAAATATTAATATTTATATTTTGAATTATTTTTATATTTAATCTAATAAATACTAATAAAATCAAAATAAAATTATTCTGAATTTTAGTCAAACTTTTTTATAATTACAAAGAAATTTAATTATATTTAATTTGACAAATTCTTAATAAACAAAATAAAATAAAATTTAAATTTAATATTTTAGAACTTTTAAATTATTTCTTATATTTAATTTAATAAAAATTTTATTTTCAATTATTTTTTATATTTAATTTAACAAAAACTAAAATAATTAAATATTAATTCTAATTAGTTTTTTTCAAGATTTTTTTAATCAAGTATTAAATATTTATTTTAATTTAATTTAAGTTTAATAAAGCTTATTAAAAATTAGTATTAAATAAAATATAAAAAATAGTTCAGAATTTAGTTAAATTTCTTTATAATTATATTTTTCTATAATTATTTAACTTTATAATACTAAAAGTTTATATTTAATAATTATATAAGATATTTAAAATGCATTAACATTTTGTAAAAATAATATTTTAAAACTGATTAATAATTTTTTTTGTAATAAGCTCTAAAAATTATTGATTAATTTTTTAAAATATTATTTTTATAAAAAGTTAATATATTTAAAAAATTTTATATAATTATTAAATATAAATTTCTAGCATTATATAAGACTTATTTTATTATTTTTCAAATTTTTTCAAATTAAATATTATTTTAAAAATTTTTCAAAATATTTAATTTGATTTAAGTTTAATAAAAATTAGTTGAAAATTTAATCTAATATTTTTGTCAAAATTTTATTAAATTAAATTTTCTTAAAAATTTTCTGAATCTTGAAACTTTCAAAAAAAATAATATTTTTTTTATAGAAATATTTTATTATATTTTATAAGTATTTTTTAATTAGTAAATAATTATTTTTTAATTATCTTAATTATAAAATTATTTTACTTTATTAACTATAAAAATTATAATTTATGTAAATTAAAAAAAATTATTAATACTTTTACTTTTTTATAAATTATTCTTAAATTTATAAAATAGAATTATTTTTGTTTAAAAGATATTTATCTATTTATTTTAATTATTTATCTTTAAAAACTATACTAATTTTTTATTTATACTTTTAATTAGTTATATTAATTCTTTTATTTAACTTAATATTATATTTTTTATATATTATATATTATATATTAAAATATTGTATAAATATAATTTGCTATAAATATAGTATTTTTTTATTAATAAAAAATTTTTACTTTTGAACTTTTAATTTTTTTATCAAATATAATATTAAAATTATAATTAATATATTTATATAATCTTTTTATTATATATAAACAAAAATAAAAAATTTTATTAATTAATAACTTTTTGAATAAATCTATTTTAATTTTTTTATAAATTTTATATAATAAACAAACTTAAATTTTTAATCTTTGAAACTTAATTATTCAACAACTAGTAATTTAATTTTGCTAAACTTTAAAATAAATATTTATTATATTTATATTAATATATTTATAAAAAATACTTAAATTAAAATATATTTTATTTAGTATGAAAAATTTATAAATTTTTAAATAATAATTTTGATAATTATAATTAAAAAGTTCTATTTTTTCTTTTTGATATATTTATATTTTGTATTAGACTATAAGAATAATAATATATACTTTAAAATATTTATTTAATATTAAAATTTAACTGAATTTATCTCTTATTTTCTAAGATTAACAAGTAAATTTTGAAATAATAAAAAATTTTTGTGAAATTTATTATTTATAAAATATATTATTGATAAAATATTAATATATAATTTCAATATCAATTTATAGTTTTATTATATTTTTCAGTTAATTCAGAAAATATATAATTATATAAAAATTTAATATAAACTATTTCTACAAATATATAATAAAAAAAATACTTGAAGATAAAATATTATTTTAACTAAAAAATTTTTTAATTAAAGTAAACTTCAAAGTTATAAATATAAATATAAATATAATATATATATTCTAAAAATTATCTTAACTATAAAAAGAAATAATTATATACATTTGCATTTGGTATATTTCCTGACTATATTAAGCAAAAACAATTATTAATTACATATAAATCACCATTTAATTTAGATAAATAAAATTATTATTATCAGTTTAGTATTCAGAAATCTTTGGTGATTTAAGAAAATTTTCTAATAAAGGTAATTTATATAATTTGAAAATTTTGTAATATTTATTTTTTCGATTTGTAATTTTATACTTAATTCAAATATCAAATTATTGTCAAACTATAAAGTAACAAATTTGTCTATGAATTTAATATAAAAACTTTAAATTTGATTTAGTTATTAAAATACCATTTAAATTAATTATATTAAAATAAAAATAATAATCCGATATTTCACATATTTTTTCAGATTTTTTGAATTCAAACTGAAGCCCACTCTATGCAATTAGAAAGTGGGCTTTAGTTTGAGTCCAAAAAATATAGATTTTATCTTAAAATTGAAAAAAATTAAATTTTGATGTTTTCGATTGTCACTGTATTTGGTTATCCTAAGGAGTAATTTACAGAAAATATTTTTACAATAGAATACAGTCAAACCTCGATATAACGATGTGGTCGGGAAATTTAGTAAAAATTCTGCATACCGATACGTATATCCAATTCATCATAAAAATCGTTATATCGGGAATTTTATTAGAAGTGTTCTTGGGCTGATAATCACGATATTACTAATTTTCTGTTGTTGATCAGTTTTGTGTTGTATATTTTCGCTATAAAATAACTTGTCACTAAAGCTCTACAGAATTGTCATCACAGGTCCGAAGTTCTGCGCAGAACTGGTGCCCGAAAAACTGCGCCTTCTGAGATTACCTTTGTCCAAAAATTTTGACCCAAAAACATTACTCGATTAAATTGGTCAAATGAAATCGATTACTACGTATTTGCTCAATATACGTAGTAATCGTCAAAAATCGAATATAGTAGTCAACCAAATACGTTTTGTGGTTTATCAAGAAATTTACTCGTTAACGTTAACTTATCGTTATATATCGATATATACAAAATGCTTGACTTGGTTGAGCAAGTTCAATTTCCTATATAGTTTTAAGATGCGAATCGATATTTAAAATTACTATCATTTCGAAGCTATCTATGCTTAAAATACAGAAAATAATATGAATATTTATCCGTTTTGGAAAAATATTCCAATAATTAAATTAATAAGAATTCTACAAAATAAATAATCTAAAATTCAAAGAGTAAATTCAATTATTCTTCCTTGCATATTTGAATAGAAATATTGATTGCTGGTAAATTTGAATTAACAGATTGAATTTCTGCTAAGTTCGATGTTGAATTTCTGCTAAGTTCGATGTGGAATTTCTGCTAAAGTCGAATATTGATTTGCTGATGGTGAATTCGGATTATAATGTTGTTGCATTGGTGAATTCGGGTAATAATGTTGTTGCATTGGTGAATTCGGGTTATAATGTTGTTGCATTGGTGAATTCGGGTTATAATGTTGTTGCATTGGTGAATTCGGATTATATTGTTGTTGCATTGGTAAATATTGTTGATGCGGTGATAAATTTTGGTTATATTGTTGATACGGTCGCATATTTGCTTGTTGAAGAGGAGAGTTATTTTGATTAACAGGTGGATCCTGAACTAAATTAACAGTTGAAAGCTCAGCAGAAACAGGTTCATTGTTCGAATGTGCATAATACTCCGAATTTGGATCATTGGTTGGATCAGGATGTGCATGAGACTCCGAATTTGGAACAATGTTAGCGTTAGAAGGAGATTGACGTCGACGCATAAAAAATATCGCAGAAGCAACGATAAGCAAAACAGCAGCGACTGCACCTCCAAGAAATAAACCAAGATTATTTTTCGATTTGTCTCCAACGGTTTCAGTTGAAGTAGCTGTACTTGTGCTGTGTGAAGTGACTGTAGCTGTTGAACCATTAGTAGTTGCGTCTGGTAATGTTCTTACTTTGTAAGTAGGAACCCAGGCCAACGAGCTTAGATTCGCCACATCCATGACTTTTACTTCAGATGTATAAGAATAATTTCCGTTCACTCCTGCAAAATTAAAAATTTAAAATAAAAAATTTGAAAGGATAAAAGAAAATGATAAAATATAACTTTACCAAAAGCTACAATCATGTATCCATTATACAAAACTGCAGTATGCCCTCTTGTCACAGTCATGTAAGGTAAACTAGAAATTGATGGCTGGGACCACTCCCAATTTTTGGTATTCAATACCCACACCGAGTCAGAATCGGGAATTTCTTCGGTAGGATAATAAAGCCCTCCATACATAATAATAGAAATGGAATTCATATCTTTTATTTCAAAAAGAAATCATATTAGTCATTTTATATTTTTATTTTATACACATAAGATTTTGAAATTTCATTACGAAGTATTGCCGAATGGAAAGCTCGATTTCTTATCGATTTGTTACTTGTAGATAACTAAATAAAATAAATTTTAATTTTACAATAAATCTATATAGCGATAGTACACATATTTAAAATGATTAAATCACCTGACTGCTCCATTCAAGTTTTGCGGTATCAAATATTAATAACTAAATAATCAATAACCAAATTAGAATAAATTCCTAACTAAAATAATAGTTTAATAGCATTACCTCTGAAAAATTAACATCTGGATATGGACTGCTACTAAGTCCACCAATATAAATAATTCGACCGTCATTTAATAATGTAGCCGTGTAAGATGATCTTGGATTCGGTGCATTATTAAGATTATAGCTTGACCATTTATTCCCTTCATATATATACATCGTTTTATTATCTTGACCTTCATTACGCCCACCCCATACAAAAATTCTTGAAAGACTATCGATAATTGGAAATATTCCATCTCGTGCACTTGGCCATGTATCTGCTTGGTTTGGTGAAGATGCTATCCAAGAAAGAGAAACGTCATCGGACATTGATGGCTTGATCTTGTACAATGTGTTTACTTTGGGTAAATTCTTTTGGAATATAATAAACGATTATTACATGGACATATTTTACTGCTGATTGGATAAAAAAGAATTCGAAATTTACCGATCGTGATCCATCAGTCCCAGCAAATATATAAATAGTATTATCTTTTCCTAGACAAGCAGCAGTCCAGACAGGTGATGGCAGGTTTTCAAGTCCAAAAACTTGAATAAAATTTGGCTCATTTGCTGTAAAGTCTGATGATAAATCCAATAGAAATGTATTGACTTTTTGAGGAGATCCTGTTCTGCCACCAATATAATAAATTTTTTTTCCTATCAAAACTGCGTTGTTTCCATCACGTGGAAGCGAAGCAGTGTCAATTGAATCACATTGATAAGTTAGGATACTAAGAATAATAAATATTTTGAGTAATGAATTCATTTTTTGTAAATATCGATATTGATCCAAAAATCAAAAAAAAATAGCGTACATAAAAACTAAATACGTATAAATAAAAAATTTCCTTATAAACCCATGTTTCGTGTTGCCAAGAATAATAATACGCGCACAAATAAGTGAATTGTATCCAAGTCACAACATAACGATGATTCAAAATTATTAATCGCTGAAACACGAGATGCGTCATATTAATATTTCTATGATTTGAATTACGTATTTCATATCCTAATGTCTGCACTGTATACCGAGTGCATTTACTGACATACATGTTCTTTTATTAAAAGAATTTATGCACTTTTATTAATAACAAATTATTATTTGTCTTTGTTTTTAAGTTATGTTTGTACATAATAATGTTATATATATGCATATATATATATATATACGTACACATATATATATATATCTATATATATATAAAATGAATTAATATAATAAATTATGAATATATAAATATAATTTTGTGTATGCTAATTTCAAAAACGAATTTAAAAAATGTGTCGTATAATAAGGGATTTGCCAATCATCACATTTCAAGAGACAGATTCGTGATCCAGACAAATCATCCTCAAATATAATTTATAAATCAAATTACACTTGTTCCACGTGAATGTATAGGATGTGGATGTGGCGGTGGCGGCTGCATATGAAGTGAAGACGATGAGGACATTATTGATCCGTTAATACTACCATCAGTAGCGGCAATTGGAGGTGCGTTAACATCTGATGATTGATATATCAATGCTGTTAGTGGTTGATGAGAAGGATGTGGCATTGGAAATTGTTGTATTAATTGACTATGACTACTTTTTGGTGATATGTTATGTGGGTAAGGTGGATGTGGTGGAAGCGGTGACGATAGATTATTTCGCGCTGCGTTATTTTGATACTCTGAACTGACAGATGAAGGACGTGTAAATGATGGTCGCGGATTCATTTTTTGAGCCACAGGTAATGGTACCGTTTGAATGTTACATGATGATATTACAGGGGCTAATTGATAATTAAATGTATTATTAGTAACAATATATTGAAATCTCCTAATCAAACAAATATTAGTAAGTACCAGTCATATCCCTAGTAATGGTTGCCTTCATCATTGCTTTCATCCATTCTTTAGTCTTTTCTGCATCATCATGAGCAAATAAATACATTCGTCCGGTCTCATGAACTGCTCGGAATCCGTATTTTCCGGGATAAATATTTTCATCTGGGATAATTTTGTAACCAGATAAATTTATTCTTCCTTTTATTCTTGGATCTCGGGGCCCCTTTTAAATTTAAAATACTTGAGACAAATCTCGGAGAAAACAATCATGCTAAGCTAAATTCAACAGTAACTTACCAAAGAACCTATTTTATCACTCTTTAAGTAGAAGAGATAAACTCCCTTTAGGATACAGAATCGTGTTTTCCACGTCTTGTATTTTTCACCTTGTTTTTTCAACCATCCTTCGTGATCCGGGATACCAATAGATGCCAAAATTTCATCATCTAGGTTTCCATCACCACTGATTGAACGTGATGTATTAGTGATTGATGGTGCAGGACGTAATTCAGAGCTTCCGCTGTTCAATGTTGAAATATTTATTAAACTTGCGAATATTTAAGCTAATCAAACAGAGATAATATTTGCTTTAAATACATACAATTCCATGGACCGTTTGGCACCTGGTGGTAATCCCAATTGACTTCCCACATGACTGTTTCGATCCTAATTACACGGATAATTTTAATATACAAAGAATTAATTGTTATTGTAATTAAACTTGATTGGCATTGTAATTTGACTAAATTTACCACGAGATTTTTCTTCGGTGGCACAGGAGCAGACGTGTGGAATTTTCTTCTTGAATTCTCAACTTTGACAAGTGCACGAGAACTATTAGAATATTTGTTTTTTAAATGTAATTCACGTTTTTGTGATTCAGCTTCTCTTTCAATCCTTTCTAGTTCTTTAATCGCATCCTCCTCTTCTGCCAATAAGAAATCCCATCCACGTGTTGACGGAGAACGCATAAGTTGAGAACCAGGGGATCCCATATTATTGCCATTTTGTTTAAAATAACCGAGACGTGATAATATTTTAGCGCGTGCTTTGTTATTTCCATTAGGACCATTAAACGTATTCTTCATATATAAGAGTGAGTTGAGTGGTGAGTAAATAATATAAAATAAAATAAAATTATTGAATTTTTATTTACCGTATATACACTGTTATATCTTGAATGATCCTCTACTTGAAGTGGCATCTCTGGTATAATGCTATAAGTAGCTTTGTTCATATTATACTCTGAATGCTCCGAGAAAACTGTGCTTGTATTGCGACTTTTTTGATAGACAGGAGTATTATACAGACTATTTGTTAGAGCACGTGGAGAGGGTGGACGTGGTGTTGATTGTTCTTCCCCTGCATCTTCTTGCTGCTGATGTTGCCTTGAATTCTGATCTTGTTCTCGTCGTTCTTGCGCCTCCTTTTGAATTCTTTCGTTATGTTGTCGTCTCACTTCTTCCTCTCGATAAAGTCTCTCGTGTTGTTGTAATTGATTTTTCATTTTTTGATTATGAACATTATTGTTAGTGTGACTTCCAGCAACAGCGACTGAATGACGAGACGGGAAGCCCATAAGATTGGTACTATTATTGTTGCTGTTGTTGTTGGTGTTACTTTGAGCGTACATCGTACTTGTTTTATGAGTGACCGGTTTATTAGAACTGACCGTTATTTGTGATTCCACACGACGATTAGATAGGAGAGATTGAGACTAACAATAATTGAAAAAAGATAAATAAATAAATTGATTTTGGAAAATAAAGAAATAGGTGAATGGTTACCCTTTGCATCGGATCACTTTGCGAATCTGGTTCCTCAACTATTTTATATTGAGTCTTTAAATCAGCGATTGCGCTCATTATCTTAACCCTTTTACCAAAAGACATAATATTTAGTTCTTTTAATGTGACTAAAGTAAGCTCTAGGAGGACATCACCAGTGATATCATTTTCTAAATTATATGTGAATAATATTTTTGTTAATTAATGACTAATAATGAAGACAGTCAAAACTCGATATATCGATGATGAATCATTGACTTTTAATAAAATATCCTCGATATAACGATTTTTATAATCAACCTACCGATGAATTGATGCATTAGAGAGTCGAAGCCTTTTTCATGTAACCAACTACAAACTTTTTCTACATCCCAATTTGAAGGATGATCACCAATTACTGATGCTCTATAATTACCTTCAACATCATCATCAATTGCTGATGTTCTATGATTAGATTTAACATCGTAATTTGACGATGAGGATGAAAGAATCGATGTAGTACTCATTTTCCTACTAAAATCGGTCTCATTTTGCTGATCATCTGTAATTTGCTCCTTTACTTGTTGATGTTCTGGTAAGGGAGATGATTGTCGAACTTCATCATTGTTGATTTGTTGTTGGTTTTGATCTTGACCATCATTAATGTTATTGTTATCGTGAGTCGCATTAACAGTAGCAGGATTGTTAGTCGAATCAATAGCAATGCTAGTGGATGAGCTAGATCGAAGGTTCTCAGGACCAATCCGAGGACTGTTACTCCTACTACTATTGCCAGTAACATTACTTTTACTACTGCCACCACTAGTACGACTAACGAGCAATGCATCATCGGTGGTGGTGTCATTGTTGTTGCTAGGTGAAGTTAATGATGTTGATGATTTATCATTAAAATGTCCAATTGACTGTTGCAGATGTTCTTGTTCTTTTTGTGATTGTTGTTCTTGAATTTCTTGTTCAGATTGATCCTGTTGCTGCGATTGTTGATTTCCTTGATAATGAATTTCTTGTTGCATTGCTTTTTGATATCTCGATTCTTGTCGTAATGCCATGTTCTTTAATCTTCCTTCGATGTCATTAATCGCATCATTAGAGACAACATGACTTGGAGGTCGATCATCAATTGATTCGCCGCTTCCAAGATTCTCATTATTAATGACATCATCGTCATCACTATCGTTGTCATCATTAACGACAAGATTACTAATGTCTTCTATTTCATTAATATTGTTAATATTATTATTTGGATGGTGCTCAATATTCAAATATTCATTATTATCGTCATTTAAAGCGTAAGACTGAGGAATCAATCCATCAGAATTGTTGTTGTTAATATTAGGAATTGTATCCGAAGGTGTCGGTGACGGTGATTGTGAAGCAGGTCGAGACAGTACTGCATTACCTTGGCCATTAGTGATAGTGGTAAGAGTGCTAATAGTACTGATAGTATTTGTAGGACTATAAGCGCGTAACACTCCTGCGCCTGATCGAAGTTGTGGATTTTGATTTTGATAGTTATTATTTTGTTCGGTATACGATGCCATAGTGGTAGGACGCGAGGCAAAATATGTTGATGCCGGTTTTTCATAACTAGTATAATTTCTCGGGAAAAGTCCAACTTGCCCATGAATATTTTGTCCCTGTGTGTGTGTGTGTGCGAATAGTTAGTTTGTTTGTTTATTGGTTTATTTATTATCACGAATTTTAATTATCAAGCTAGTTAATCAATTAACACGAAAAGAATGGATAATTGCCTGCCACCATCCATCTCCAAACATATCATCCTTCTCGAGAACTACTATCGGTTCGCCTGCTTCAAAGGGAACCTCGTCTGGGTTTTCTGCCTGAAACGTGTGTAATGCGTACACCGTTTCAAGTGGTGTCAACTTTGACATTTTATTTTGATTGATTTTTTTTTCTAATTGAATAAATATATTTTATCTACAATTGTATGTACTTTGGGCAAAAGAAAGAACAATTAAGTATAAAAATTTGACTTCTTGTCAAAAGAAGTCAAAATTTTGTCAAGAATCAAGAATCAAAGCAACAGAACGAATAGATTAGATTAACAAGCTCCTCTTACTTTTCTTTTTTTTATTAACTTGTTTTCCTTTTTCAGAAATAAACACGCGCCTCCCTCTCACTTGAAAGTTTCGTTTTATTAATATATTTTTTTACTGGATATAATACATATAAAAATCTAGCGACTGAGAAGGACGAGTAGTTGATGGCTTTTTTCTATATCGATATCTATTATTATTATTATTACTATATACTATCGCTATTATTATTATTATTATCACCACTACTACTTCAACTAAGCTTCTAGCTCTATGTTGAAAGCGTAGTGAGTATAATAATCTGGACATTTTAGGATGATTGGAATAATATAAAAAACACAAAGATGCATGCAGGCAGGTCATACGCAGAACTCGAACGATCCGACAAATACTAAAGATAAAATATAATAGTATACATATGCATCATTGTGTACGTAATGTTCAACCTTTTGTGTACGAGATTTGGATTTGCAAGTAAAAAAAGGGCTTGTGCTACGTATGTTATTTATACAATTCAAACTTAAAAAAAAACAAAGGCGAAATATCAGATGTATATATCGATCTCTCGTATTGGCAATCTTCGTCAATTTACGATTTAGTGATTTACTGAAACAGGTTCCTGAAACATACCGGTCTATGTGACGAAATTCATGGGTCACAAGAGGTTTCAAAGAATATTGATGTTTTGATTCATTTATTCATGGACAATTTTTGATCATTAACAATCATTAACATAAGATTATCCGAAATGTTTGTGATAACTCGGTCTACGTTTTGATTGGTAATGAAAGCAAGAATTATTTTTGCGGCAAGACAGGAGAATAAATAACAAGTCATAGGTTTTAATGAAAAACAAATAAATAATATATTTTCTAACGCTAATATGTCATTGATTAGTTGATTTAAATTAAGTTTGTACACTGGGAATAAATGTCTGATTATATGTGTGTATGTGTGTGTGTGTGTGTGTGTGTGTGTGTGATGTGTATATGCAACAAAAGGGAACGCACAAGAAAGAATGAGTGATAGTTGGTTAGATTTTCAATGTAAAGACAAAAAGAAAGATTCTATAACTAAATTCAATTACAATAAAAAGAAGGGTGTGAAAAAACACGGAACCGGTTGCAAGCAAAATTCTTGCACAAACAATAAATTTTGTCCAAGCAAAAAATCCTCCAATAAATAAATTCTAAAATGAAAAATTGTCAACTCGTCACGCTAATTCCTTCGTCTCTCTCAGAGATTATTATACTGATCCCCAAAAACCAATAAAAAAAATTGAATGATGCACCCCTTCAATGAATCTGATGACACCCATTCAAAGAAATTACGATTATTAAAAGAAATTAAAAAGAATCACAATGTTCTTGATTCCCCAATTTGCTTCCTTTTCTTCATTCTGCTCCGACATGTTTTATCCGTCCCCTTTAAAACATGTTTCCATAGTTTTCTACCAATAATTCATTAATCTTGTTTACCCATTCATGAGCTGTCGCAGTAGGGTCTTCAAAATAATAAGTTTTCTGTGGCTAATGATGATGATGATGATGAATAAGCAAAATGTTGCAATCAAAGAATAACGATGAACTTCAGATATAGATAAATACCGTATGTATAAAGAAGTTTTTCTTGTTCTTTAATTCCACGACCATTCTTGAACTCCAATATATCTCACCCTTTTGCGACATTTTCTCTTGTTTCTCTTGTTCAAAGTAAATTAACCTTGGTAAGTCTGTCAATATCAATAGACGCCGTTTGGTGAAAAGCCCTTTGCGTTTGTTGATAGGACCGGCACGAAGAATTAGTTCAGTTTTTGATAGAAACGGAATCCTTGATAGAATAGTGTTTATCGGTGAGGAAGGTGATAATGGTTTTTCATGACGATGAGAGTCATGAAGCCAAAACAAAAAGGTCGAGCAACAGCTCATCCGACCATCGAAAAAGGGTCACAGGAAAAGTAAATATAACAAGGAGTTTACTACAGAGACTTTATTGATTACTACGTTACCATTGCGAAGAAGTTCGTTTTTGTTCTTCTAATTTTTGCGCTTTTATTGGATCCATTTTTTCTGTTGCTCCATCCATTTCACTAGCCCAACTCTCCAGTCGAAAAGGATCACGTTGTTTAAGTCCGGTCGAGACTGGACTACTAGTAGTATCACCACTGTGATTTGTAGAAAGCTTTTGAAGGTACATGGCAGAAGGAGTTCGAAGTTCTTCTTTATTATGATTTGGATTAGATGGTAAATATGGCAATAATTTAGGTGCAGGTTGTTGCCATAAAGTATCCCATTTTATATCATCGAAAAATTTGTGGTTTTTTAGTCTATCAACTCCAGCTTGGCCACCAGCCCCAAGTCGCTTAGATGGGTCAATTACCTAAATCATATAATAACTTAAATATACCTCCGTTGACAACAAAATAAAATGAAATAGATTTATTACCAATAACTTTTCAACAAGATCTCTGGCTACAGCGGGAAACCCTTCGGGGAAGGTATACTCAAGACCCACAATTTTTTGGAAAGTTATATATTCGTTGGGTCCTTTGAATGGAGGTCGACCTGCAATTAATTGATATACAATGCAACCGAGAGCCCAAAAATCTGAACTATAATGATTTGGATATAAATTAAATTCAACTAAATGAATGTCAAGGCCTTAATCATGAAAAAAACACATACCTCTTACAAGCAGCCTTTTCCTTAAGCAATTCTGGACTAACATATTCCGCTGTCCCAACGAACGAATTTGCCCGATCGTCTAATGATTGAAAACACATCACGAGAAATGAGACCCGAGAAGGGTAAACCAACATTATGGCGTAAAACGATTACGTGCACAAACCTTCTTTTCCATCACTGTTTTGCTCTAGAATTTTGGCTGTTCCAAAATCTGTTACCTTGATGTGCATTTTCTCATCCAACAGAAGACTATTTGAAAGATCGGCATTAGTTTATGTGTTCAGTGTAATTCAACTAGTCGAATAGCAATTGATTTTTCGTAGCGTCGCAAACTTACTTTTCCGGCTTTAAATCTCTTCAATGAAAGAATAGAAAAGAGCGTTTCAAAAGGTTTGTATGATTGTGGAATTGAATTCATCTTTTTTTTAAGATCAATAATCGTTTTTACCTGTGAATGACTCCTTGATTATGCATATACTCTATTGCTGATAATATTTGTGCTGCGTAGAATTGTGTACAACGAAGATCAAAGGAGCTAAGCTTGAAAACGTAAAATTTACGAGTTATTTGAAAAGGCCAAATCTTTGAATCATAACCAAAAAACTGTTCTTTGAATCACCTTTTTTATGAAGTTCAATAGTTCACCGTTCTTTGCATGATCCAATACAAAATCTGCATTAGATTGAGGTTAATAAAGAGAAAAAGAAAATACAAAAGAATGATGGTATTACCACATTTAATACATACATAGACTATCCTTATCTTGGAACGTGTAGTAAAGACGAACTATTCCTGGATGAGTCATTTTATTTAAAGTATTTTTCTCGATATTTACATATTTAACCTTTTTCTCTTTGATTATATGTTTCTTATCCAGTATTTTAATGGCATATTCTCGTTGCGTTACACGGTCTCTAGCCGCTACAACCTGAGAGTCAATAGATGAAGGGGTACTTTTGCATTTATGCCTTAAACTAAAAAATTCTCTCAGTGATAAGGCAAATAAAGCTGATGCCTACAGTTGAATAAGATCCTTCGCCAAGAAGTCTACCAAATTCAAAGTCTTTTACACCTTTCTTGCGTGCAGGAGACGAGATTGTCGGAGTGAGTGGGGGTCTTTGTGGTCTTGTTGGAGTTGTAGGCGTTGTAGGGGTGGTTTGTTGGTCACGGCGGATTCCATTTTCTCGATGTATAGAGATAGAGATGCCATTGATGGGTTGTCTCTTTGAGTTTGAGCGGTTAGCCGAGGACATCAGTGTAGAATGACCAAGGGAAAGTCTGTATGGTTGTAGATAAAGGAAAAATGCAAGCTATATAAATAAAAATTGTCGAGAAAGAGAGAAGAAATGTTTGCTTTCAAGACGGAACTGGGCTACTGGCAAACGTTTGTGTGTGACTACTTTCTTCGGAAGGGATACTCGTGTAATAAATAGTCAAGTTCATTTATTCTGTAAATCGGTGTGTTCAAGAAACATGTGATAAATTGTCTTTCCGATGGAATTCACCACCTAACCAAGAAAATCTTCTGCGCATCTCACGTGTGTGACGTAACACATTGAGTGTCTTTTTTCAATGAAACTTTTACTACATAAACAACGCTTTTGTGATGATATGAGCATCTTCAATGGATGAATATTGTTGCTACGCTTGTATTCGACATTCTCCTTCGTTTCTACAAGAAATATAATAAAATCACATTGTCTTTTCAAATATTTAGCCTTTTCCGCAAAACATGTGTATTATTGTTCTCATTTGTACAAATCAATGAATATTAGATAGGTACGTAATATCACATTTCTAATGTAACTATCGAGAGACACTTGAATTAATTGGATAACCATTTCACGGAAGCATCCGATATTATACGTAGTATAAAAAGATCAAAATTGAAAAATTTAAAGAATTTTTATTTTTTTTTTGATCAAAGATTTTATCGTTATAGCTAGACTTGGATTAAGCACTAAACCTTTTCGTCGAGATAATTATAGATTTTTGGTACCCTTCTTGAGTATTCTTGTTATGTATATCTATTAACACAAAAAGATAAAAAGGGATAGTGGGGCTGGGATCTTCCTTTTTTCATTAACCGCCGTTATGTGTGCATTGTTATCGTTTATGTGTGTGAATTTCACTTCAAAATGGGAAAGTAAGGGTTAAATTGTAAAAGTGCCTCTCTCTGGCTTAGCAACCTGAAACCAAACCATATTTATTTCATTTCACTTCGTAATTATATCCTTATTCAATTTTACACATGATAGGATATCCGTTTATTACACAAATCATGAGATTTGAGTTGTATAAAACTGAAAAGGCATAAAGTCGTAATAGGTAGGAAAAATGTGTATATAAAGAGAGCGAGGGAAGATTCCTGTCTTACGATACGGAAGACAAGACCTTATTTTTTACTTTACACATTATTGTATTGCTCAACATTTGTTATTTGTTCTACTTCAAAACAAACAAACGATAAATAATTCCGTAATAATATCTTTTCCAAATAAAGATATCTATTAGTGCAAAGACGTACATTACATGCTTGCAGACAGGCAACCAAGAAGATAGAACCGCGTGTAATAACCGATTAAAACCTTAATCCATCCCTTTCTCCTTTCTTACCTTGCATATCAATTAAAAATTTTATTGTGATAATAATAAAAATAATAATAGCATTCCAAAAAAAAATATATATAAAAATGATCGCAACAGACTATCACCCATTACAGCAAAAAGACGAAGACGACAACCGAGATAATAAAATAGTAACAGCCACAACTAAAATCCATCAACACCTAAAAAAAGTAAATCAATCACCAAAATCAACTTGCCTTGAAAATAAATCAACATCCACCTTATTTGATTCAGTTGATAATAGCATCATGAATCATTCACACTTCAAATCAGCAAGTGAACCATTGATTGACCCGCCATCTTCCCCTTCTTCTGACCAAACACATACGAGAACAGGTTCACCAACACAAACAACAGCTGGTGGAGGTTTCGTAAATTATTTGTCAAATTTAAAAGATCGTGCTCTCAAATCAAATAATCATAATGAAAAATCCACATCACCAAATACACCGCCTCGACCAACAATCACCATAATAAATACCGATGCGAATGTTTTAATTGTTTCACCAAGAACAATTCGTCGTAAAACATGGCCCACCTCTTCTCGAGGGAACAGTTATCAGAAACGAAAAGGTGTTTTATTAAGCGGGGATGAAGAACGTGATTCCGTAATTAATATTTATTGGGAACATCGTGATCATTTGGAACAAGATTTACGTGCTCGCACTGATTTGGATACTCAAACGCCACATGAAGATCTTTATGTTCCGAAACAGGGTCAAATGGAAGAACAATCACAATCTTTACCAAATACTCCTTTTCTAATTACTGAATTTCCAACTAGTCCTTCGTCATCATCTTCATCCATTCCCACCCCCTCCTCGTCTTCGTCTTTTATGTCAATAACGTCCTCGTCACCACTCTTGAGTAGTAATCATCTTCACCAAATCCTCCCTGATCAACAACAACCACCACCACCACAACAGCAGCAGCAGCAGCAGCAGCAACAAGAATCGAGTTTCGAAGAACTTACTAGAAACTTGTCATATTTTTTCGTTAATGATGCACATAAAATGTTACCGCATGCTTATTTTGCTACGGAAAATAATTCAAAATCATCGTTTATCATGGATCCCACAGAAACTAAGTTGTCTGTTGCTAGAACTTCGGTTTGGTGATAGATTTGAATAGAAAACCCAATTTTATTTTGTATTTTTTTTTTTATTTTTTGACTTTGGCTTTTGGATGTAAATAAATAAACAAAAATTTAGTATGACTCATGCGTATAATGAGACGAATGTATCATTTGCTGATTGGATGAATTTGAAACAATGTGTAAAATCAATATGGCTAGCTTTAATGCTAAGGAGACCCGATATGGTGTGATAGGATATAACGAGAATCATCAATACAACCAACATAATCAATATTTCTTTTTTTATACATTCCCTCTTCTCGGCGGTCGAGTTGTTGATTCAACTTCTACCGCGTGCTGAATTCCCCGTAGTTGTGTTTAAACTTGGCATTGAATTTTTTCTCCTTAACCTTATACCAATAATTTTGCAGAGATTCCGAAATCTTGACATTACATCTCTGTGCTTGTTTTTCACTTTTTATTTTATAGTTACCTGATACGAGTCTACTTGTCCGTTAACCACGATCCTCTTTAACAATCAACCTTATATTTAATTATCTAACTTGCTATTTATAATTAGACAGTCATTTTTTGTATAGTATTCTTTTTATTGAAACGTATTTATTACCTATTTCCCCTTAATTTGTTTTATTTATTTATATCAATTTGCGACAATACGAAAAAGATTGTCAATTAAATATCAAAGAATCAAAGAAAAAAAATGCTGACAAAGGATCCTATAGAACTCGAGAAACTTCAGCAATTCGCGGAAAAAGGTAACTAACGAGACAAGTAGGCGTAAACTTTACTTCGAGGCAACTTGAGTGGACAGTTTAGCCAAGACAATCAATCTTAATAAACCACGTTTATTCATATTTGAATTTAGTAGAGTTGTTTTTTATTGGTAATGATAAATCACATTAATCATAATATGCACCGCAAAAATAATAGGCGGTATAGGCGCCTGCGTAGCGAATCAAGACACATTAGCTAATACCGAAGATGATTTGATGTTCTTTGAAGGTGACTAATCAAATCGATTATATGATTACTTTTCAGTATGGATATTCATCAAAGATTTGTTTTTATTCTTTACTATATAACAGGGGATAAAATCACGGTATTAAAACATATCGCAAAAGATCTTTATCTTGTGAGTATTATGAGTATTTTTTTATGATTCCAAAATTATTTCTCATATATTATTGTCTCATGAATATAGGGTTATTGCGAAGGTGTCATAGGTCATTTCACAGGAACCAAGGTCAACTTCATGGGACCTTTGAAAACAACAGAAAGATTATCACCGCCAATAGCAAATAATATTAGTAATAGTAATAGTATTGGTAATAAGAGTAAGACCAACAACAACAATAATAATAATAGTAGTAATAATAGTAATAATAATAATAATAATAACAATAATAAAAACGATAATATGACAAACACAAATTCAACCAAAGCTGAGCTTTCAATACCGCCTTCTGGCCAAGAGAATACATTATTAAATACAGTATCATCAGGAGGACCACGTCGACAAAATTCTACGCCATCTTCTGGCCAAGCGAGTGTATTATCAAATACAGTATCATCAGGAGGACCACGTCGACAAAATTCTACACCACCTTCTGGTCAAGAGAATACATTATCAAATGCGGTATCATTAGGAGGACCACGTCGACAAAATTCTACGCCATCTTCTGGCCAAGAGAGTGCATTAGCAAATACAGTATCATCAGGCGGACCACGTCGACAAAATTCTACACCATCTTCTGGTCAAGAGAATACATTATCAAATACAGTATCATCAGGAGGACCACGTCGACAAAATTCTACACCACCTTCTGGCCAAGAGAATACATTATTAAATACAGTATCATCAGGAGGACCACGTCGACAAAATTCTACGCCGTCTACATTTACTGCACCTGAACAACCACGCCAAACTCAAATAACTCCACATCGACAGAATACGTCACCAGCACTACACAATAAAGCTTTATCCATCGAGACTAAACCGACGCTCTTGAGTCTTGATCCAAATAAATCATCGGTGGAAATTGGTAGTGTATCTATAATTATTGTTTATAGCTGATAAATGATGAATTTATGATAACATGAAAATATAATTCTAAAACTACTTCACCATTATAGCGAAAAGTATCAACAGTCATCAAAGTCCTCTGGGAGTTAACACATCAGTAGCTGGACGCTCTCCTCCAGGATCTGTCCAGAATTCTCCAATTTCCCCTCAATCCACGCGAAGTGGAAGTACAACACCAGTTCTACCTCCATCCACTAACAGCAACAATAATACTTCAAATGTTCCTAAAAATTTGCAAAGCGTTGGAAATTTAAAATATCAAAAATCCGAATCTTTATCTCCAACTTCTGATAATATACAAACAGATCATATGACTCAAAATACATCAAATCCGATAGCGTATCCTCTATTTAATGTACCAACTTTTGTAATACAACCGGAGACTCCAACACGTCCTACAATGAACCCAAATCAGAATTCACTTCCCAAAAATACACATATTGAAGATCGAACATTTGATCAATCATCGCCTAATTCGAGGTCACCATCTCCTAACTCTTCTTCTCAACAAATGCGATTCGATTCTTCATCACCACCTGGGAATCCATATAATCATTGGAGATCCGATCAATCTCCAACAGATTCTCGTTCTTCTTCTCCAATATCATCTCCGCCACATAGATCATCATCTCGTCCTTCTTCGCCCATATCACCCCTTCCTCATAGATCATATTCATCACACTCGCCAATTTCATCATCTGCTACACGTGTTAGCAGCAATATTAGCAGCAATTACAGTGATGACGATGACGAAGAAGAATCTTTAATTGCTTACTCTTCAAGTAGAAATAAACGTAATGCTATTCAACAATCATCAACGCCGAATAATCAAAATACTCCGCATCGTCTTGTAGTAAGCACAACTCCTCAATCGGAACAATTGAGCTCTAATGGAAGCTATGATAATACATCTGACGATGATGAATCGACAATTGCGCATTCGATATCACAGAATAGAGAAGATGAGACTCCTCTTCATAAAAAAGAGCAAATTTTAGCAGTTGACAATTATGGATTTGTAGTTGATGTTTCTGAAGGTGATATTCCGGAAGGAGCTGACAGGATTCAAAGAATGTACGCGTTGAATGAATTTTTTGTTTCTCATTTTCATTATGCTTTGATTCTGAAAAAGTTCTTGTTATACAGTCAAGCTCCAGGTTATTCAGAAAAGAACTCACGTAACATCCGACAATATCGTGAACGAGAAGCAAAATGGCTGAATATAATAGCAACCATGGATACCGCAACTGCAAGAGAATCCCGAAGGGTATTGTATTTATAGATGCTTGTTTTTGTTTGTTTGTTTGTTTGTTTGTTGATTGGTGTTTTTTTTCACCGGTTTCATTCAATATCGGCCACATCACTTTTTGATTAATTTGAAGTCATTTGATTTTATTGACACGTACAAACAAAATAATTTAGTTAATCTGGAATTTTTATTTTCGTTACAAGATTAAGAAATTAGTTCGTCAAGGTATTCCTGAATCAGTTCGCGGTAAAGCTTGGCAATTTATGGCTGGCGCCAATAAATTTAGGAAGCCCAAAGTTTACGAAGTGGGTAAATCACAATCAAGGGTGCTTATATCAGTAACTTTGGTCATTTCATGTCTAATAATCGATTAGGCTTTTCTTTTTCGTTTCAGGTACTTCGAAAACGTGAAAGACTTCCTATATATGACGTGATTGAAAGAGATATTCATCGATGTTACCCAGATCATATTCAATTTCGTGAAGGAAATAGCTCGGGGTAAGGATTATTCTCTAGTATAAAGACATAACAACAATCATCATTTTATAAACAAGTCTCAATTTATAGTCAATCAGATCTTTACGATATTCTGAAAGCTTATGCCCATTATAATCCAGCGGTCGGTTATTGCCAAGGAATGGGTCGCTTAGTTGGCATGATGCTGATGCAAATGCCAGCTGAAGATACATTTTGGCTGCTCGTAGCCACGATTGAAGAATATATGAATGGTTACTTTACACCCACACTCTCTCAATTACGTATAGATTCAGAGGTTTTCAAGCAGTTATTGACTGAACATGACCCTAAATTGGCACAACATCTGGTAAGTCATCCATCTCCTAAGTCATTTGAAGTAATTCTTTACGCCAATCAATGGTTTTTTTTCGGAAAATCTAGGCTGACAATGATATTGTGCCATTGATGTACATGACCCAATGGTTCATGACAATTTTCACCATGGCTTTGCCTTGGGCATCTGTCTTGAGAATTTGGGATATATTTTACTTTGAAGGTTAGAATTGAAATTGGTTTTCATTTTATTTACTTGAAATACTTCTTGCTCATTTCCATTATACTTTTTTCCTTTATAAGGAGTCAAATTATTTTTCCGCGTAGGCCTTGCAATCTTGGATTGCACGAGAGATCACATCCTAAAAAAATGTCCAGGAAGTTCAGAGATATTGGCTTTTCTTCTTCATATTCCACCCGATATGCTAACGCCTGAAGTTCTTTTGGATGCCGCATTTAATATTCGTATACGACGAAGTTCTATAAGGAGATTAAAGAAACGTATAGCTATGGAGAGTAATAATGAAATAATGGGTAATAATAGTAATAAGAATATCAATAATAACAGCAATAGCAATAACAACAAAAATAACAATAATAACAATAACAACAATAGCAATAATAACAATGATAGCAATAATATTGGAAATAGTAACAACGACAGTACTTTAAAAGAACGTGATCAAACCGTTTTGGTAAAAAAACAAAAGATTTCTGAGCAAGATCGGGTAAAAAAGGTTGGTGGTGTTGAATTCAGAATAGAATCTTAATCAACTGAACATTTTTTCTTTGAATGAACCTCATTATAGAAGAATGATTATTCATTATTGAAGAATAATTATTCGTTGTATCACAATTTTTTTTGTACTTTTCCTTTTCTGTGTATATTATTATTATTATTATTATTCTAGTTCTTAATTAAGATCAATCTAATAGTTATCTTGCTTATATTTGAGTTTATCAAATGACAGTCTCCAAAAAATAAAACTCATGAAAACATTCAGCATTTACGTAATATATGATAAGAAGATTATCCAAAAACACATTTCTGGCCAATCCAATCAGCGAAAACCCTTTTTTTCACAAAAGATTGATATTTACTACTATTTTATTTACTATTTTTTGGTTATATACTACAAAGAGACGGAAAATGGATTTTTGAAATTTTTGAAATGTTAGAAATATGTACGAGAGAAAGAGAGGTAATCTCGCTACCCGAGCGATAAGATATACAACAGATGATGATAATAATATTTTTTAAGGATGCTTTCAATGGAAAAATGATGATTGATGATTATGCGATCTATCTATATGTTCAAAAACTCAAAAATATTATTATGATCTATATGTATATAAGTAAAGATACTTCGCTCCATATTGTAATGAAAACAAAGAGAGGATTTATACAAGGATTCGAATTTTGAGATACAATTATAGCTTGTTTTTATTTTGTTTTGTTTATAATAAGTATTCCATCATATTTTTTTTGGTTATTAACGATGTGTATAATAAAGAAAGAAGAAAGATGGATTTTTAGAAAAAGATTTTGTTTTAGGTGTATAGAAAATAGCAATAAAAATAGTAGTAAAGTGGATAGAATATAAAGATTAAAAAAATAACTATAATAATAATGATTAATTACTATGATGATTGATGGTCGAATAGCACACAGAGGGGAGAGCGCGATTATTTTCTTAGAAAAAGAAGTTGGAAGTAAGTAATCTTTTTTCCGAGAAAAACAATCAATGACACTCGTTGCTCCATTTTGGCGCATTGGTGTTCGATTTTTTTGAGATAGTAAAAGAATGTGTGTATATATATGTATGTATGTATTGTATGTATGTATGTATATAAATATTTATTTATGTACGGTGTATTATATTTATGGATCGAGGGGGGAAGGGTGAATAAAGGAACGAAAAACGGTGTATCAACTGAACTTAAAGAGTGAAAGGACAGTGATACTTTTTTTATTAAAAAGAACTAGATCAAAAAACGCATCTATACACAGGAAATTTTTATGATGAGCATACATGCATGTTTTTTGATTTATTTCTTTCTCTCGAAAGTAAGAATTTTTTTGTTCTCAAAAATGCGCGTTTTTCGGTTTAAAAGATGGTGGATATGTACGGATTTTTCTCACACACATACACGTACCAAACACATACAGGGAATGGATTTCCAACTCTTCACGATTTTGATGGACTAGAACAGAGAAATTAATGCTACTAAACGCATCGAAGCAAACACAATCACGTAGATACCAATACACATACATACACATGATTTCGATGAATAGGACAGGGGTTAATTTGATGAATAGAAAGTACAAGGGTCCGAGAAATTTCATTGAAAGAATGACAAACTCTTCCAATTCGCAATCTTTGACGAAAGGATATCGATATTGTAGAGTTTATTCAGAAAAATAATATTTTATAGATATGGAAGAGTGTATAGTTGTTGATGGCAGGAAAGATGGATGGATGTGAAGAGGGTGTATGTGTATGAGTGAGCAAAAGTGTCAAGTAACAATCTCTCAAATTTAACAGCAGCAGAATTGACAAGAATAAATTGGCTTAATGAATGGATAAACTGTTGCTAAGAGCGCAAAGGATTGCTGCCGCGTCCTGCGCGTACTAACTGATTTGCGAGAGGAAAAAGGGGTAATCTCCTTGGATGCTGATGAGAGCACGGCAAATGTGATAGGTAAGTATGTGTATACTCAGTTGTTTGTTTTCTGTTAATTGTTTGATATTTTGTGTGTGTGTGTGTAAATATAATAAAAATAAAGATAAAAATAAAATAGAATAAAGATTATACATAAAAGATAAGGGAGATAATAACAGAAAATGTGAAAAAGAAAAAAGAATAATTTCATCACGTGTCTCGGGTAGAAAAAAGAGGAGACAGGGAGAGGAAAAGTTGAGTGATGAGGAGATGATGTAGTAACCAGTAAGGAAGGATAAAAGGATGAAATATAATAATATATGTACACTTTCTTTCTTACAGAGTACTACTATCAGTAATCTTTTTTCGTGTGTATGCGTATGTGTGTGTAGATATGCTTGTGTGTGTCCTTATGTATTGCTCCCATCAACGAATAATAATAATAATGATAATAATAATAATAATCATCATAAAAATAAATAAATGTCCATCCCATCGACCAAAGAAAACAAAGAGCTTTTTGAATCTGTCTCTTTATTACTCTTATTGTTAATAAAAATGAGAAAATAATGATTATGATTAAAACGAGAATAATAATAAAGAGAATCTAGATCACCCATCAATGTGGCTTCAAAGATATAGTCATCGTCATTGACTGAAAGACGTCATCTTCACCGTCTTTCATCAGCTGTACAACCAAACAAAGACGACGTCATGATTTTTTTTCGTTTTCTCCACTACGATTATATTGATCATTTTCATAGACGAAATCGAGAGCTAACTCTGGAATTAGTTGAATTATTTCGTGTGGGTGTGGTTTTCCCAAAGACTATTGATGCAGCACTATTTTTTCTTGATCTCCATAATACTATACTACCTCGTTTGGCGGAATTGTTTTTCTTCGTGATACTTTTATTGTCGTCTGGCTGTTGTTGCTGTGACTGTTGTTGTTGCTGCTGCTGTCGTTGTTCTTGCTGCTGCAGTGCATGGTCCACGGAAGATTTGGAGGATGTTGTTGATGATTTTGGCAGACTTGGAAGTGATGGTGATTTAGTTATTGAGCTTAGTGGGATAGTAAGCGATCGAGATGAAGAGCGTCGTTGAATCCTAATTTGTGAATCATTGCTATCACCTACGTCACTGCTTGAGGATAATGATGGGTCATCATTGATTCCAGGATGAAGTGGATGCTTGTATGGTTCTGCATCGGGTGCGGTGTCAGGCAAAGGACAAAACAATAGACTAACTCGTTCCTGTTCAGTGTTCCAATGTGGACAACATAATCGATATTCCAATGGAATCTGATGGTCATTCTTTTCGATTATTTTCCCTCTTTTGACATAACTTTCAAAGTAAGGACCACCACAGAAACTACATTTTTTCGCGTTAGCGAGATAATCTTTAATATCCTGAGTGGTATCCTGTAGTATAGGGATCTGTTTACGCACTATAGTACGTGCGGCAAGTTCCATTAATGAGGGTGGTGAATGAACGAGTTCGTGTACAAATTCCGCAAGCAAGGGACAACGATCAATTCTTAATTTACGGAGATACTGAAGGCGACCGATCTCCGCGGGTAAAACACTGATTGGATTTTCGCTGACATCAAGATTAACAAGTGTTTTTATTTGTCCAATCTCAGGTGGCAATTCGGTGATTCTGTTCGAGTCGAGATATAGAGTACCGAGTTTCTTGAGTGATCCGATTGAGGATGGTATGGAGGTCAATTGATTCTCGGATAATTTCAGTTCCTGTAACTTGTGCAAGAATCCAATTGTATCTGGGATACTAGTTAATCGATTTTTGCACACATCAAGTTGCTCAAGATTCTTCATGTATCCTATTTCCGCTGGTATCGAAGTCAATTCATTACAACATCTATTAAGAAGAAGATTGTTAATAAATATTTGAATTCATCCATCCCTCCAAATTCAACGAAAAATCAAATAAAAAAAAATACTTACATTTGCAGTGAGACAGTAGCATATAAATGGCAAATGTGTGGACTTAATTTCACCAATCCAAGTTGACACAATCCTATTTTAGTCAAACTTGGTAATTCGCTAAAATATATTTTACTTATATTCTCGTGATGACGATGACGATCTTCAAGTATTGGTTCATGTTCATCTTCTTCATCATCATCACTATTGGGATTATCGTAACAACATGAGCGTCGAAGACTTATTTCACTTGACATTTCAAATTCATCTTGTGGATGATGATGATGATACTGATTTGGTTGTTGATCTTCTGAAGATTTATCTACAACTACAATTTCGGGCGTTATCACGTCTGTCGCAGTCGTATGTATCGAAGCAGTTTCACTGTTACGAGAATGATTATTATTATTATTATTATTATTACTATTATTATTATTATTATTATTATTATTATTATTATTATTATTATTATTATTATTATTTATCTCGTAATAATCACTATGTGATGTTACAGAGGAGTCGGGTGATAGATGAGCATTGGGTCGTATCGTTGACGAAGCTTTTAGTGCTCCAATACGACTTTTTCGCCCCGACTTCGTTGTGACATAACCGAACGGAAGTTGTGCTTGTTCTTTCGTCAGTTGAGCACCCATTATGCGTTTATTATTTCGTGATACAGTGAAACTTTTTTTATTCTATAATCTAGAAAATAGTTTATTTCCAAAAGGATTAGCTGTTGGTCAGAATATTTATGCGGTAGCAATAGTAGTAGCGGTAGCCACGGGCAGCAGCGGCAGTAATTATTTCACCGCACGATGTTTGATAGAATAAAAAAAGTATAACGAGGACTTTTCGAAACCAAAACGAAAAACAACAATATCAAATACACCAACCTTTTTAAGCAACAAGTTGATTTCGACGCGGGAATAAATTATTATTAGATTAATTTAGTATTATTATTATTATTGACTATTACTATTATTATTATTATTATTACTATTACTATTATTAGAGGCAACTCTTTTTTATCTTCTTACTTTATTATTATTTTGAAGTGAAAGAAAGACAGAAAAAGAGAATAATAATTAATAAAAAAAATATGAAAATAGATATAAATAAAAAAGTTTAAAGGATGATTGAAAGAGAAAAAAAGAAGAAAGGAACGAAGAAAAAGGAAGAAATTATAAAATGGTATTTGAACTTTTGTGGCTGGTGATTTAAGTAGTCTTTTATGGTGGTGAGTGGTTGGTGTATGTGTATCTGCCACTTTACGTTCGTTTATTATCGTATATATTACTTTTACTGTAAGCAGCGAGAGCAAGAAAAAGCGAGAAAATATGGTGCAGCCTCTTTTTTCGGGTCTAGGAGAAGTAGGTTGCTTGATTTGATAAGATGTAATTTATATATATATATATATATAAAATATAAATTACTGGTGTATATTTGTGGTTGGGTACAAAAGGTGCCGACACTATTAAAATCGATTATATAATAATAATTAATGTATTTGCTACCAGTGAAGATTATTTTTTATTATTATATAATACAAGCAGGAGAAGAAACATGTTTTGTTAGATGGACGGACGGTCTTGGACTTATGTTTTAATCGTTAGCCGCCTTCGTTATGATGTCTCTGATCAAAGAACGATTAATCGAGTCGAAGAAAACAGAAGGAAAAGAAGAATAGTGGGCGGAAAAACGATTCAGTGATTTATTGGGGAATGAAATGAGGTAATAATAAATAAAAGAAAGCTGTGGTGGATTTGTTTATGAAATTAATAAGTAATTCTATTAATAATGAAGTAATTATTCCTTGTTATTATTAGAAATTAATTTTTTTTTTTAATTATCATGGGATAGAAGTAATATATTATATGTGTATATATACATTTAATGATTTCTGTAATTCGCAGAACAACAGAAAATTAAATTTTGGCGAGCGAAATAATCTTACTATTATCCACGGATAACGAGATACAAATAAAGAATAGAACACACAAAGTTTGTGTGTAAAGAGGAGCAAAGAAGAACTGTATATAGATGAAAATAGTGACGGGGTGTGATATGTAACTTGTGACTGTGCTCGAACAATTCAAATCTGCACACCACAACTCCTGCATAATAATTCAATAATTTATTATGATAAACCAGAATAATGTGTGATCCAAAACTTATCTCTCTTCTCCTTCTCGTTTCTGGTTAATGGTAACAAGAATCATGTTTGTTGTGATATGATGATGATGAATATGATGATGACTATGATGATTAATGATAAAAAGAAGCGCATATACATAGGCGTTGTGCACAAATCTTACATGCGTACACAAAAGACAATATGTGTTGCATCCAGTCTTTCCTTTTGTATAAATTCTGCGCGTTTTCTTTTTTTTGATGAAAGGTATTCGAGTGGCATATTTACATTCGACTCTTCATTGGTGTATTACTCTCCGTTGCTGTTTCTGCTGTTTCGTGACACTTTTTAACCAATCAGACTAATTCAAAGTGTTCTACGTAAAATAAAAGTGTATGTATGCATATTTATATATGTATGTATGTATTTATGTATTCCTTTTGTCGTATATGCTATTAATGCATTCTTTTTATTTATTAATTTTCATCGCAGCTAAAAGTTTTTCTTCTAGACCTGCTTCACACATTATTTTTTAAGCAATAGATAATAACATGTCAAAAGATGTACCGACAAAAAAATAGTCTATATATTATATAGAAAAACGGAATGCCATCAATCGAAACCTAAAACTTATTTAGATCCGATTTCAGACATAGTTTCCTTCTCCCAAACCTTAATCTCACGCGTTCTCTATAATCGACGAATATATTATTTCGATCAATTCTTCCAAAGAACGTTAATTTTTTCCAATTCCTAATCATGATTCAGTAGGTTTTTTGCTATATACTATTCTAATTCATTGCCCATATTACTTTTTGAGATAACGGTTGGAGCGAAGGTTCAGGAACGAGTGGTCTACACTTATTATCCGATTTAATCATCGGGTATCCGGCTATTCGTTTGTTGCAAGTCACTGGATCAATTAATCGATTAATATCGATTATACCCGGATCAGACCGATCAAGGATCAAAGGGGCGGACAAATATTACGTAATATAGACCACCGACCAACCCTCAGATTGATCCATATATAGACATCAAGTCAGATGATACATTAAGGGAAGTCTATGGACAGTGCTGAATCACGTGGCCTTTGACACAAGAAAATAAATGTCAAAAAATGTGTGATCCTGCACTGTCCCTAGACTTCCCGTTAAGGGAAGTGACTTTTATCAGGTGATTTCAATTTATTATAAGGCTGACATATTATACAATATTATTTATATTGCTTATATAATCATCGTTGGCCCCTCACTAAAAAATCAGGTGATAAAGTCACTTCCCTAACACGTTTTTACACGTTTTGTTCACATTGTCACAATGCAAAGTGATCTTTCAACTTCAAAGTATAATGAAAAAACTAATATTTAAAAGTTCCTGTAATAATTACGAAAATGATTCTGTTATAAAAAATGATATCTATCAAAAATCCAGCACATAAAGTTCAAATACTTTTCCAAGAGACACAAACTGAAAGGAAAAAAGCGAAAAGAACTAAGTCTTTGAAAAAATAATCGATAATTAATTATCTAGCCACACCCATTATTATGCTTGGTGGTATTCCGCGAATGATAATAATAATATTAGTAATAGTACAACCTTATCTTCTGTATCAATAATATTGCTTGATTTTTCTGAAAAGAATAATCCATCAACACAAAAAACTGTTTATCAAAAAAAAAGAAATAAACAAATCAAAGAAACTGATGAAATGCTTTCTACAAACAAAAATCCGATGCCAAAAAAATCCGAGCAAAATGAGACTGTAAAATATGATCAACCAGTTTTTTTGAATATCCACAATCATTATTAGCGTTAGATCATATTCATGATTTGGAGACAGATGCAAAGCATTGTTAAAGAAATAATTAAAGTGCGTATTTGTAAATCATGTACAAAGGTATTAGCACAAAACTAAAACAATCTTTCCCGTGCTATTATCGTTATTAATAATTACTCGAAATATTCCAATTCAATAGCAGCCAAAGTTCATCATCATCCTGCATTGATTGCTGTTTCATGATCTGAAAAAAATCTAATCAATTAGTCGAAATAATTCAAAGTTGAAGATCATGCACATACAAGCTAGTATTAATACGCCTATTTTCCACACAAAGAAAACTACCAAGACAAGACAGACCAGTGTAGAAACTCTTGCATTTGGCGAGTCTATTACATGTATTAATTTCAATAGTTAGTTGAGGTATAACTGATATATGATATAGGAATTGGACCAGATGGAAAAATATATAACTTTTTATTTGAGTCAAATTATAAATTGATTGAATGATTCGATATTAAAATTCATTATGCTGAATTCTTTCCCCCCCCCCACCCGCATGTCTATTTTCCCTGTTTTCTCCCCTCCAGACTGGCCACATTTTATTCATCTGCTGTTTGTATGTTTCGATGTTCAGTAAGCTGAAAATACATGTACAGTGGCCTAGTAGAATATCGTGGATACTTTTTAAATATAATAACACAAACACCAATAAAAAAGCATGCTTTATTATTCCAAGCTAATAGATTTATTAAATCATAATGTACATTCTCTTAAATTTCAAGTGATTTAAATCACTGATTCAAAAAAAAATTAAAAACCATAAATTTTAAATTTAGTGTTAAACCGAAATTCATCATTCATCTCGTATTCATTTTGCCCAAACCAAGACGCGTTTTGTTTGATTCGAGACATGTATTAGCAGAGTGTAATACGTATGCTAATTCGTCCATTATATATGAATTTATTTTCAATGTTAAAGAAACCTGACGTGACATATTACCCGAGTTTTGCCGTCGATTGGTAGATAGTATGCCGAATCGCGTTAAAACTAAAGGAGGTCCGACAAAGTACTTTATTATGTTAGCTTTACAAGATTTATTTGGGCTAAACGCGCGTCTCAGTTTGGACGAGATGAGTTTCGGTTTAACAATAAATTTTAAATTTTATCGTTGTTTTTATATTTTTTTCTTTGAATCAGTGATTTAAATCACTTGAAATTTAAGATAATGTATATTATTATTTAGTAAATCTATTAGCTTAGAATAATAAAGCATATTTTTTTATTGGTTTTTGTGTTATTATATTTTAAAGTGTCCACGATATTCTGCTAGGCCACTGTATACTAATAAATATACGTATACGTAAACACAGAGAAGTTGATAAATAATAGAAGTCATTGTACTTTAATTCAAAATATTGTTAACGTTAATATCGATTCTATGATTACCGTTAGGATTTCAACTCTTAAATTTATCCACAATATAAAAATTTTAAAGCAATCACCATATTGTTTACCACAGACTTGGTAGATTATACATCATGACAATAACAACAATAATCTTCGTGTCATAGTGGGAATGGTTTGACATATCTGCATTCTTTTTGATTTCTTGTAGTATACTAAAATCGATATAGAAAACACCTGCTTAGTGAATCATCATCTAGTGTGCGTAAGTGCGAGTCGTTGTTCATTTGTTTCTTTGTTTCATATAATAAAAAAATAAGTTTAGCTGAAAATG